ATTCTATGTCTCTAATGGCTCTTCAAAAGAATTAGTATTACAAAAATCTATAGGCTGAATAAAAACACGTTTTTTATCACACTAATTAGGGAATAAGTTACTTGTTGCTTTCAAGTCTTTGATGCCCTTGATTGCGATAAGTCTTACGCCTTTTTCATCACAAAACCTTTTTTTCTCTACCAAACATAATCTTTTGTAACTTGTTTAATAAAACATATATTTTCTTTTACATAATTTTATTTTACTGGCACATCCTTTTAAGTACATTTGGACTCAAAAAGATAGGTGAGCATAAAAGCTTTTGGGGTGCAAAAGCCAATGGCATGATGTCAAATATTATACATTTTATTCAATTCTTTCATTTCTTATTCAATATTTCAGGTATTACTATCGGGTTTGCCCGCTACAACCACTTCTCGTATTTCTACTAGAACACTGATTAAAAAATTTCACACGATTACAGGTTCCAATGAATGTTATGTTAGCAGCAATTAGACTGTTGCTCAGAAAAGTTGCGCAACTTGTTAGTGAACTATACATGCGTTGCATTCAACCTAGTTTATTCATTATAAAAAAAACCTCATATAGTCACAAATTTTAACTTTCTTGCTTCACGATATCAAACATGCTCAATGGTTTTATTTTGGGCGTTAGTCTGAAGGCTCTTTACATGTCTGGTAGACTCAACAGCAGAAACACCAGATGCATACATTTCATTAATTTCTTCCAGGGTAACCCCCTTAGTTTCATGGACCCCAAAATAAACAAATATCACCGACGCTAGTAAAAAAGCAGAAAAGACATAACCATACTTGTAACCAACCCTGTTGGTAATCATAGGAGAGCTAAATCCAATAACAAAATTCCAAATCCACATAACCCCAGTAGCCAAAGCAATGGCCTTTGACCTGATTCGCTGCGGAAATATTTCAGAAATAACAACAAAGGCCAGTGGGGCCCATGTCGTGGCAAATCCAAGGATAAACACACCGGCAACGGCAATCATTGCGATACCAATGGCAGAATTGACATTTTGCGTAGTTTTAGAGTAAAGAAAAAAGGTGCCAAGGGTAGAAAAGCAAGCAAACGCAACAAGCATAATAATGGAGCCTGTAATTAATAGTGTCCTGCGAGCAAATCTATTGACTATCAACATAGCAATCAAAGTGCATACACAGTTAACCCCCGAAAGAATCATAGCAGTTGCAAAAGGATTATTGGAACCAAGAGTTTTGAATAAGGAGTTGCCATAATAGAAAAAGTAGTTAACCCCCGAAAGCTGTTGTAGGGACAACATAACAACGCCCACAATAACTCGATAAAAGATTTTTGGCTTGCCAGTCAACAGCTCACCCCAAGATGCAGATCCTTCAACATTATCTGCTTCTATGGATCTAATAATATCTGCCATTTCCGTCGTAATATAGTGAGAATTAGGGTTCATGCAAATAGTTTTGGCCAGGGCCCTATGTGCCTCGTCAATCTTGCCCACTGTGGCCAGGTATCTGGGAGATTCTGAAAGGATAAACATGGAAATGGCAATGACCGCAGAAAATATAAATGAAAGACCCAATGGAATCAAATAATCACGAGAATCACCAAGGTTTCTAACACCATAGCAGATAGCATTACCAATCAATATTCCCAAAGTAATCATAAATTGAAACGAAGAAACACACGCACCACGGAAATCAGTAGGAACCGACTCGGAAATAATCATGGGCACAATTACAGTAAAAGCCCCCAGTGCAACCCCGGAAATCAGCCGGCCAATTAAAATTTGGACCCAGTGATGCGCCGTCAGTTGAATAATTAGGGCAATAATGTAAACAACATTAAACCCAAAAATAGTCTTTTTGCGGCCGTACTTATCAGCCAGCTTGGAAGAAAACAATCCGCCAAAAAGACCGCCAACGGTAATTATAGAAACAATTAAACCAGATCGCCACGCTGGGAAAAAATAGGTACCATCAGCAGCCGCGCTACCAAATCGCTGCAAAAACCCACCAAGGTTTAAAAATCCCGAAATAGTACCAACGTCATACCCAAACACAAACCCGCCAACCGACACTAGAAGTGAAAGGGCCAATGCTGAAAGAAAGCTAGCTGGTTTTTCCGAGGTGTATACATGATTGGTGCCGTTTACGTCCGAATTTGAGAGATTTCTCAGTTCAACGGGACTAAAGGAGGAACGATTTTTGACTTCAATGGCCTTGATAATCACTGGACCATCGGATGAAGCTTTATTTTTGGTATCATCCATTTAGTATTAGATTAGAACTGTAGTAACCGATTTTAAAAAAGAAACAGAAAACAGGATTGGAAAGGATCTGTATTTTATAGACCTTAGTTAAAAATAAGAAGAATTGAAATATTTGTAAATATTTATAAATATTTGTGTGTAGGTTGAATAAGTATACACGCCGAAACTCGAGATCTTTATATATATATCGGTTATTTTGTTAGATATTTAATTGTATTTTATAAAAGTTCGATCAGTAAATTTACTATTCAAAAGAGTAATCCAACCAACACTATACTTATTAGAGTAGCTATTGATGTCTTTTAATTTTGGAAAAAAAAGCTTTACAAAGGGCTGTTAACCAATTCTTTCGGTAGTTGCAATGTATTATTTTTGCCTACAAAGATGTATGGGTACTGTTAGCATGAACAGAACAGCTTCATAGATTTACTCCGGAATAAAAAATTGTGGAAACGTCTTGATAGAGCGTTACTTTCATATTTAATAATTCAAATGACGATTAATGCTTAGATAAAAAAGAATTCAGGGGTTTGCTTCAATTATGAAGACATTAAAAACTCACATAACAAAACTATAGAACTATTGAACGTTTTGGAATTGTAAATGTCTTTTTGGCAAATGTGTAATTAGGTTGTCAGTTATACCTTTTTTTTTTAACTGAATTCTGTTCAAACTTTTGAACTTTTTCTTACTCTTTTCTCAAACCAGAAATCACGTTCTTTACCAAATAGCCACAAAATTGAATATGGTCAAGTTCATTGTATTTTTATAGGATACCAAAATTGATATCTTGTGTTAGTTAAAACACTGTGAGCCTTGGACGATATCCAGTCTGAAATTATCAATAGTAAGAAAATCACTCTGAAAATAATTTAATATGATCTGCCAATCTAAACACTCGAAAAGTTAATTCAGCACAAACAGCTGCTGTTTCAGAACCATGGTATCACTGTATCAAGCATGAAATAAAAAATCAATCAATTAATGTTAGAAATCGAAATAAGCTTTTCATTTTCAATCAGTTATACTATAGCTATATCCATGCATTGGTAATTTGATGGTTTCCTGAAGTCATTCCTCTTTACTTTACTTCAAGTCAGTTAGAGTGAAAAAATACTGCAATTACGTGAAGTAAATCCTTTTTATTCTCATCGCTACACTATTTTGTTTATATATTTCCTGAATTTTTATCTAGACACTGCTAAGCTTCTTGTTAAATCAAAAACTAACAATTCATTTATGAATATCAGCAGTTCAGTTAATAGATTAACCCCTTGTTTAAAACCAGGGTCTATAGGTCTTTTCATCTCATTCAAAACAATAGGGCTTGATAATTAAGGTAGTCTGAATTAAAAAATAAACTAAAAAATCTGTAATAATGATAAGAGTAATAGAAAAGATAACTTTCAGTTTATTACAATTTATTTTATATCACATTTATTATATCAATATACTGACTCTACGCTGCCTCCTACTGACATTCAGTTTTCATATTTCACCCCACTACCACAGGATTAAAAGTTAGGTGGGTTGGTGAACTGCGAACGTCGGCGAGGTTTACCAATATCATATTTAGCTCTTTTAAGTCGTATTTTACCAGGTTTAAAGCCAGTTGGTTGCAGCTTGCTGGTACAATATTTAGCTTCGAATTTCCAGTCAATTGGCCTGAATTGTATAGTAATACTTGATGAGGGTTTAGCATGAAGACAAATGGTGTGGTTTTGTTTGTCATGTAAAGCATTGCTCTCTAGAGCTGATGAAGTCAACGGTAACGAGATTTGAGAAAGAGACTCTAACTTAATAGTGGGCTGTTCCCAGCTGCTTTCATCAGAGGAAGATGAATCAGACACGAACTAGAATATGTCATTGTTAGCTTTAATTTGTTTGTGCTGGTTATAAAAAGCTACACACAAGGCTTCTCTTGACTTCAGATGTAAACCCCATCACAGCTTTCTCCTTTTCTTCTTTTATGTGCACTGAATGCTCTAGGTCAAGCATTACTATGAAACAGGCTTTTTTCGATAAAACCAATGAAAGAAGTCAAGATGGGTGGTCATGGCAAATCTTTAGAATCATTCTTATGTTTGATATTAAATCTATTATGGTTAATGATGTAACAAACACCGCGCTTATTAGGTGTGTGGAAGGTGGTCACAGGTGTGCTGAACACTGCTAATAATAATTCATGGTAATACCTATCTACACCAGCATTTTATTAGTGCTCAGAATGATGAGATGATGTAATACTAGTTTATACAAAGCATTGTCAATACCATTCATTTAGCTGACTATAGCAGAAAGCCTTTCCAGATCATCATCTGCTGGCTTGCCCAAGTTGGCAAGTTTCCACACGGAATTCCTCGGACTCATAGCTAGAATACCTCATATAGCCAATTAGTCATGGATTTCTTCCATTTGTATGTTTACCAGCAAAATTTAAGCATCTCGCTGCATTTCCTTAACTGGCGCAGACATTAATGCTCTCAGATAGATAGAATATCTTAATACTCTCAGAATCTTTGGTAAACCTGTGTTTTGAACTTTCTGAATTTCATGCTTCCGCTGGCCTGGGTGCTTACGATACCAGATGAGACTAATGTACTTAAGTACTGATTGTGTGCACAAAACATTAAGCTGCCTCATTGTATGACTAGAAATACATCTGTACCTTAAAAAAAAAAAATTTGAAAATGGCTATTTGAAATTATCAATTTTGTTCAATCTAAAAACAAAAAGATGGACGACACCGGAGTTGAACCGGTGACCTTTCGCAGTCTCGAACCTAAAATGCGAAGCGAATGTGATAACCACTACACTAGACGCCCAATATTTTGTAAATTATTTTTTGCAGTATTTTTTCATGAAGTCTTCTAACTAAATGACCGTGAATTATACAAAGTTTTGAAGTTATTTTTATCACCATTAACATTTAATATGCAGCTTATAGCCAATAGTAATTTAAAATGTTATAATATTTGATTCTTTTTTGCGTGCTTAAGTGATAGCATTTTGGTCACGTGATGTGTTCCATCGAAACTGAGTGTCAATCTCTAGTATTTATCTACTAGGTGTTATGTATCTCAGATTTCCCTTAGCACGTGAAGAATTTCATGGAGAATTCGGCGCCATCGAACGTCTGAACTCATAACGCGCGCTGACACCGCTACCTTGACAGTCTCATAGA